CGTTCTCTCAATATTTCAACAAACAAATAAATACAGGTGATGTGAATGTGGTACCATGTTGAATAGCGGGCAGACCCATGGGTAAAGTGACACGGATAGTTTATTGTTCTATTCTTACAACCTCCCTATAGGTTTAAATTTTTGAAATAAAATATTGAAAACACACATTTAGGAGAGTCAAGAAAAACATAAATAATCGAAAGATATACCATTTAAACACATTGGAAAACTCAACAGAGTAAATACTAAATTCTCCCAAAACTGATCTATAAAGGCAGTGGGATAATATACGCCAATGAAAATTAACTCTGGTTCCATTCAAAACATGTGTGAATCTGAACATACTGCCGAGAAAAAGGAGCAAAATACATACACTAAAAACATACTGCATATTATTTATTCTTAATCAAAAACAAACAAAAATAGCCCATGGTGTTAAAGCTATTCCTCCGGAGAGGTAAAATGCGTAGTGATTTAAATTGGGACGTGATGGAAAAGAACAGTTGGAAAGGTAATGGCAGCTGTCTAGTTCCTGACCTGTGTGACGATTACACGTGTGTTCACTCTGATGGGTCCTCAGCTGTACACTTTTGATTTGTGTAGCTTTCTGTATGTGTTACTTGGATAAACATGTTTATATTTTCAAAAGTCTTACTAATCAATACTTGTTTCCATTGTGGTTTAGAAAGAATATGGGACAAAGATAACACTGTGTGATTGAGGTTATATACAAAATTACTTGTATTATTTACTAGAGAGAGAAAAAGTGATGGCGAAAAAATTTTGTCAGCAGGTAAAACTAAAAGTCTTGAATGATTCTGTCCCCAGAGGGCTGTCAACGCTGCTGTCACGCGGCACTAGGTTACATGGGCACTACCTGGGCCAGTCGCCCAGAAAACACATCATCTCCTACCTGTGCCTCAGTCTGTTGCTCTTCACTTCACTAATGACACTGAATGTGTCGTCAACTTCTCCATCTGTGAAGACAAAAAGCTGAACACAGATGACATTCATCAAGTCTCTGTGTAGTTTGTTTTTAAAATACCAAAATTTGCCCTTGAAAACCCAACTACTTCATGGCACAGACATTGATGTCTCTTCGGACAGGTGCGAAATCCCTAATGGTCCACTGTCACTTGCACCAGGTTCTCACGTGGCTTGTTCCGAACCTGGGACATTTCATCACCTGCCTCTGCTAGTTTCGCCGGAGGCTTCTGAGGTTCTCCACAAAGAACATCCGTCTCCTCCGTCCATAGCATGGAGCTAAGGAAGACGAATTCTAGTAAATGCCTCTTGTCCTTTTCTGTTGACTACATGACAGGCACCTCTGAGATGCACACCACATTGCAACAACCCTACATGGAAACTCAGGGCTACAAGAAGTGTAATTTTCTCTCTGCCCCCTTCTGTTAGCTCTGTTCCAATTCTCACCTGGAGAGGGTGTCCTGGGATGGAAGCTGCACTGTAAATGTTCTTGAGTGGAGCCAGGATTTCGGTGCCCCCGAGGTCAGCCTGCATCAGCTTGACCCTCCTCAGTGCCTCCTCCATGGTGTCCTGAGTGTACTTCACACTGTTCCTGAGAAAGCGAACACTCAGGACACAGCTCCTGGACAACGCCCAGTACTAGGCCCTGAACCAGGAGTAGCCCCACTGTACACAACCTCACCTGAAATCCCCAACGCCAAAGTCATTTCCACAGTAACCCCTTAACAACAGAGTTCTTTCTTTAGAGTATCTCTTTGAACTCTCTATGGCCTTTCTAGAAACTTACTGAAAGAAGGCCTCATAGGAAGATCCAAATCCATAGATGTTGAAGTAACAGCCTATAGGCAAACTCTTCAGCAGCCAAATCAGCGTTTCCTGAAGGAAGAGAGTATGAGGAGCTGGTGAGGGAGGATGCTCGCAGACAGGCACCTGCCAATCTAACTCTTGAGGGTGTGGCCTTCACCCACAGGGTGCCTCCAGACCCTCTGTTCCAGGGCTGGCCTCAGAATGGTCATGTGAGCTGCAGTTCAGCTGGACACAGACCCACAGATCCAGACAGACTCTGACATAACCCTTGAGACTCATCCTTACTGGAGCACGTGACCGGAAAAGGAAAGAACGAGTTTTACCTTGGCTGCCTCTATGCGCAGCTGAGATTTATCCTGGTTACTCATGGGACACCCCATACTTCCTGAACAGTCCATGAGGAAGACAAATTCTCCACATGTAATTGGTGACTGGTCTTCTGGGATATTTGGGTAGAAACTCACCATGGCAGATGGATCTCCCATCAAACAATCTACTCAGAAAAAATAAGAACATTGTAGGATGAAGAGGAACTAAAAAATACATACTCAAGACACCAAGAGTTAGTTGTAGTGACTTACATAGGACGCTGAGAAAACCCAAATCAGAAACACTGTTTGACCTTTATACTCTATCTGCTGGCACAGGGTTTGAAGTGAGTTATAAACATTTAAGAGATACAGAAGCAAAATAAATATGAAAGAGAAGAGGCTAGGAGTTACCAAGAACAAACAAAAATGCTACGATTAATCCTAGCCATCAAGCAAATTAGTAAAATACATTAAGTACAATTGTTCCAGCATTTGCCAGAAGAATCAACTTAACTTATTTGCAGAGACAGTTTCTTCACATCAAGTCAGTAGGAAATGTATAACCTGCGTCTTTGTATAAGTCTTTCATTACAGCTTTTTTTTCTCTTTATTAATTTATTTTTATTACAGATTTTTCTCCTTTTTCCCCCATTGACACCCTCCTACCCATCCCTCGCCACCCCATCCCCAGCTATGTTGTCCATGTCCGTCAGTTATGCGTACATGCATATCACTTCTGCGGTTTATCTCTACTCCCCACCCCCTCTTCTGAGGCTTGTCAGTTCGTACCCTTCATCCACATCTCCGGTCTACCCAGTTCCTCAGACTGTTATGTTCATTAATATAATGAACATAATATTGTAATCTTTCATTACAGCTTCAAAAAAATGATGCTCGCCAAGCCAGTGTGGCTCAGTGGTTGAGCATCGACCAATGGACCAAGAGGTTGCCTGTCTGATTCCCAGTCAGGACACATGCCCAGGTTGTGGGCCAGATTCCCAGTGCAGGGCAGGCAGGAGGCAGCCAGTTGATGTTCTTTCTCATCGACGTTTCTCTTTTTTTAAATTTTTTTATCCTCACCAGAGGAAATTTTTCCATTTTTTGTTCATATAGAGTGGGAGGGAAAGAGAGGAAGAGAGAGAGAGAGAGAGAAACATCGACATGAAAGGGACACATCGAGTGGCAGCCTCCCACACAACCCAACCAGGGCGGGGGACAAATTGCAACCAAGGTACTTGCCCTTAGCAGGAACCGAACCTGGGTCTCTCTGGACCGCAGGCCAATGCTCTAACCACTGAGTCAAACCGGCCAGGGCTATCTCATTGATGTTTCTGACTTTTTCTCTCTTCCCCTTCCTCTCTTTCTAAAATCAATATAATAAAATAACTAATAAAATAAAACAATTAAAGTGACATAATTCACTTAAAGGGCTGAACTCAGAGTAAGCTCTTGATAATTTTATAACAATATTTAAAATGTTATACAATTATTTGTGTTAAATTGTAAATATAATTTTAAGAAAAATCCTGTTCTTAATATAGTACATGCATTCTAAGTTTTTAAAGTCTATTTGCAATGTTGTCATGTAGCGGCATGTTCCATTTGGCAGAACTGTAATTTATTTGCTCAGCCAGGCTGCCAGTTGTCATAGTCCCTCGCGTGGATGTGAATAACAAGCCATCGGGACCGAACACGTGATCGGGAAGCAAGGTTTGAGAGCCCTGTTGGAGGGGTTTATAAGACTCACAAAGGCCGCCCGCTGCTCACGGTCTGCACAGCTGGTCCCAGGGAACTGCAGGAAATCTGCAAAGGGGCCAGCAGCACCTCACGGAGGGACAGGCATTGAGAGCAGCGTCCTTAACTTTGACACCGCAACCTTCTAAACTTCCTCTGCTGGATTGAAACAATCCTGACTAAAACCCAGGGCACTGTTGTGGCTGTTTCATGGGAACACAAGGGGGAGCTCGCCCAAAGGAAAGGACAAAACCAGGTAAGTCATGGACAGAAACAGAGCAGGAGCTTCCTGGAGCAGGAGCTGGAGCAGCCCTGGTGTGGATGGGCCCCCCTCTAACAGGTTCGGCACAGACAGCTGGCGCTGAGGGAAAATGGTTCAACAAGTGAGGGTACACTAAAGAGGTCCAATTTGTGACCTGGAGTGTGAAGTGACCTTGGCCAAATGGTAACAATGAGACAGGAAAATGGCCTAATGAAGACCAGATATAGGTGCTTGTCCTCATAACAGCAGTAGCGATGGCAGGAAGAGCCTAACCCAAGACACAGCGTTTTGACTATGACTGTCCCCAAGGTGCTTCCATCTGCCACAGTGGAAAATGCCCAGAAGTGTCAATGTCTTTCCAGTGATGCTGCATGCTCTCTGCACCCAGGGCTGTGCAGCCAGCAGGACCCCGGGGGGCAGCAGACTGACATGTGTTACATGAGCTACAATTAAAAGGAAAAGTACACAGATACTGGGGAACATTTGCAAAATAAGATCAAGTAAAGAAATTTAAAAACTAAGCCTACTAAGAAACCAAATTTAGGCTTAGAAATTAGGAAACTAGGGTAAGATAAGACACGGCTCTGAAGATGGACAGCAGTGCTGTTTACAACAAAGTAAATGTGCTTCCGGTAACAGCATAAACAGTTAAAAATAATTATGGTAAAATTTATGTCGTGCAAATTTTACCACAATTACAAAATGACAAAAAAATAACTCCAATGAGATTACATGTTGGTGTGATGAATCAATCAATAGTTATTTATTAGACAAAACAAGAAATTAAGAATTTAGTCTTCATCTCATCACAATTACTATTTGCACACATCCTGTGGTTTTAAATGCTTTTCTTAACTCGTAGGTTATTTTTTTATAGTAATCTGTACAACTTACTTTTCTTTTACTTAACGCTGTTTGGAAGCCTTTTTTTCCCATGTTATTTCAGTCTGTCAGAATACATTATTTTAGTAGCTGCATAGTTACTCGTTCAAGTAATCCCAGCAGAGTGCATTGAGCTATTGTAAAATATTTTGATTATTTACTAAACTTTGTATTATTAAAATGGCAGAGAATATGTCAGTGTATATTTTTATTTATATTTAAATTTATTTCCACCCTGGCTGGTTTGGCTCAGTGGTTAGAGTGTCCCCGGTTCGGTTCCCATTAAGGGCACACACCTTGATTGCAGTTTGTCCCCAGCCCCGGTTGGGGTCATGTGGGTGGCAGCCACTCAATGTCTCTCTCACATCCATGTTCCTCTTTCTCTTCTCCCCTCTCTCCCTCCCGCTCTATCTGAAGATAGATGCACAAAAGAATCCTTGGGTGAGGATGAAAAGATAAAAATGTATTTCCTTAGGTAAGATTCCTAAAATTGGAATTGCAAAAATGAGCACTTATTTTGACACATATTGTTAAAGTTCTTCTCAAAAGTTTGATACCAAATTATCTCGCTTAAATCAATCTACAAGAGTGCCTCATTCATCTCACCTTTTAATCATTTATTTTATTTCCTTAAATTTTTTTTTTCTTTAGTGATTTTTAGAGAGGAGAGAGAAAAATCGGTGAAAGTGAACATCTATTGGCCACCTCCTGCATGCCCCCACTGGGGTTCAGGCCCACATACTGGGCATGTGCCCTGACCAGGAATCGAACTGGCGACCTCTTGGTGCATCGGTGGACGCTCAACCCCTGAACCACACCGGCGGGGCTCATCTCACCTTTTAAAGCACAGGGCACTACCACACCTGGAAATCTTTGATCGTTTGAAAAGTGAAAAAGTCACATCATTATTTTTATTTATACTTGTAGAGACTGATCATTGTCACATATTTGTAAACTAGCTGTGTTTCCCTTGTAAATTCTTTTTCATGTCCTTTGTCCGATTATCTACTAATTCACTTTAATTTACCTAGAAGACAGTCACATGATATTCACTGACCTGAACTATTTTTTCTTACCATAGTGTAAGCTATTTCAGTTTTTTTACCCACTACTGGACAGAAGGAGAAAAGTTACCCCTTCGGAGGGAACTACAAAGGGAGGAAGAAAACACCTACCGGGCTTCGCCGCAGGCTTGCCCAGCTCCACAGCTACGCTGGGGGCGTGCACCTCGCGGTAGTGAATCAGGAGCTCCACGTCCCGGTCAAACTTGTGTCCCTCAGCCAAGGACACCTGAGGTCGGAGGAGCACAGGCCCTGTTGGCGCCCCCACTGCCTCTGGGGGGCTGAGCCGAGCCCAGGGCGCAGGTTCTGCCCTGAGGCGGCAGGAGCAGGGGCCAGAAGGGGCAGGAGGCTCAGCACATGGAATGCGGTGGAGACGGGGCACAGTGTGACTCCCCGGGTTGACAGGGACCAGGAAGGGTCTTTAGGAAAGACTGAGCGCGGAGGACCAGGACCCAGAGCAGGGTGCCGGCGCTGTCTCGTTCCTCACCTGAGCAGAAGTCCTATCTCCCAGGTACTCGGTGGCACTCAAGGGGCAGTTGCACTGGACCCTGTCGATGCCGAGCTGGGAAGTGATGGTGGCCTCCAAGCTGAGTGTGTAGGGCAGGTGCTCCCCGGGAGCCATGGGCGTCTTCCCGGTCAGGCCACTGTCCGCAGCGCCCCCTGTGGAGAGTGACCTTAGCGGTGTTTCCCTCCCACGTTTCAGCACGCCCGCACCTCGGAGGGGTTGCCCAGTTGTGTCCCCCGACTCCAGGTCTGAAGAAAGCGGATGCTCACCGGAGAGCAGGTACCGGTACCGGGGGTTCAGCACAGCGGGGAGCACGTAGCGCAGGGCCCCGTCCGCGTCCAGCGGCAGCTCCTGAACGTACTTCAGGGCCAGGGTCGCCTTCGACCCGGGGGGCAGGTTCCCCAAATTACAGCAGAAGACGTCCCTGGAGCTGTCGTCCTCCTCCAACAGGAAGGCTTGGTGGCCCTGGCTGACGGCATCCTCATAGTTGGTGCGGGCCTGAGGGGAGCAAGGGAAGGACGGTGACATCAGAGGTGACAGCTTGACGAGGAGTCGGCTGGCCCAGAAAACGGACACTGGTGGGTGGACTGAGATTGGTGCTGCCACGTGCACCGCTGCGCTCTGAGCGCCTCTGATCCATGTCTGCGCCAACGGCTTTAGGAAGGATCAGGAGGAGGGGAGTGGAGCACAAAGCCATCGATATCGACATTTTTGTTACGTTGCATTTGGGAGAGGTCCTAAAGAGGATGAATTACGAAAATAAACAGGGAGGAGACAATATACTCATTTTCAGTACCTCATTCTTCTCCTGTAATTCTGCCACAATTTTCTTCCCATCCACCATGGCCTCAAAGCTGTAGACAGCGGAGTCGTCATCCATGGGGAAAACAAAGAAGACCTCCAAAGGAACTTTCTCCTCATTCTCATAGTTTAAGGTAGCAGACACACCAGCCACAAACTCAGAGATGGACAAGGTCACAGAGATGCTCTTCAGTGGCACTGGAAACAGACCAGAGTTCAGAGTTCAACCAAGTATCCTAGAAGGCCTCCTGTAGACTGGGCGTTGTGCTTGGGCCAGAGATATTATGACAAGTAGAGTCAGGGGTCAGGCTCACCTGGCTCCTTTTGGTGGGTTAGGAGGCCACAGGGATGCTCCATGATGACACAGGTGTACTGTGGAGAAGACACATCATGAGTACAGAGCCATGTTGGGGATTATCTATTCAAACACCAATATCTTATGTGCTCCTCTCTGGCGGGAGGATGTACTCAGAGGGTTGATGAGGGAACTGGGAAGGAGAAAGAAGTGGAAAGAATGGGATAAAGGTGCAGATAGTGAGGCTCCTTCTCAGTGCAGAGCCAGGTGGAAAGCTGTAAGAGTCACTAAGTACCTGTTAACAGGAAACCTCTGAAAACAAGGCAGGTTCAATCACCAGTAACACTGTATCAGAAGTGTGTTTGTTACACCACTCCTCAGTTATAGTCAACTAATGGAATTAACTTAACCCCTCAGAATCTCAGTTTTCTTTCTAAAGTGAAAATCATATGTAGATGTATATATGAATTGATGTATATGAAGTCCTCAGAAAGGTGCCTGGCCTATAGGAAGCATTTAATCAATGATGACGGACATTAGTGTTGTTCTTGTTACTGTTGTTAAACAGAACTTGGCTGTCACTTTTGTGGTAGGCAGTTAGACATGAGGAGAGCAAGCACCATGGGCCAGGTACAAAAGGTCACCCAACTGCTCCCAGGAACCTTTCACTTTCCCTTTCCCTCCCTCCCCTCCCCTCCAGGGAGTCCCCACATTTCACTTCCCCTTTCACCTCCCCTCTCCCCTCCCCTCCAGGAAGTCCCCACATTTCACTCCCCCCACCCAGCAAATCACCTTTACCTTCCTCACTTCTAAACTCCAAGGGCCCCTCCTCCTTTGCCTCAGTAACTTGTTTCCTAAGCCCTTTTCTTCTATGAAGCAATTCTTCTACCTCTGTGATTTTCTAAAGAAATATTCTCTTGTAGTTTCAGTCTTGGCCCTGAGTTCTTTCCAAGCCAGAACTCAAGCACCGATTGGTGGAACCAGGTCCAGTCTGACCCCACAGGGCTAACACCTGGTGCCACTGCCACCCCCCACACACACACACACATACCAGTAGGTGGGTCTGGTCCCAGTCATTGGCCCTAGTATCTAGTATCACTAGAAGCTGCCCTCCCCCTGTTCTGTCAAAGGATGACCTGAGCTGCAATCTCTAGCACCAATTAGGGGGATTTTTACTGCAAATAAACATTAAGCAGCTAAAGGATAATTGCCTGGTGCACAGAGCACTGTAGACTAGAGGAACGTATGCGTGTCCAGAGCCCAGGGCACAGTCACTGGAAACCAGAACTTCACTGGGAACCTGCAGGCAGAAGAGCAAGCAGGCTCCAGAGAAAGGTCAGTTTCCTTCCTAGAACAATGCCCCTCCTCAAGGACTCTGAAGTTCTGGCAGGACTATTTCTAGGCCCTCTGTGCTCATCACAGCCACCATGGAAAACCTCACACCTACTCCAGCCAGGGGCCCTGTTGGTCTCCCCTCTGACAGCAGTGGTGTTTCTTACACCCTCTCCCTGCAGGAGGAATGGGATAATCACTGACTGTGGCCCATTGGCTTCCACTGAATAGGACACAGGGGGCAGCAGAGGCGGTGGGGAGAGGAATGGCCACTCAGGAAAGGGGTTTACACGCACTCACTGGATTGGGGTAAGTTCTCTGGTACAATATGCTGGGCTGGGGGTGGAAGAATTTCTAGTAACACCAGCAGGGAGCCTAAGCAGAAGGACAAGGATACAGGGGTACCACAGCTGGAGAAACTGTAGGGCAACCAAATCTGTAATTCTGGGCAGTACTCACCACGGGTGGCTTTCGGGTGAAGAGGCAGAACAGAGGCCGAGTGTCTCCTACAAAGAAACAGGCTTCTTTCAGGGTTCTACCACCAGAACAAACCCCTCACAGGGGAAATTTGCTATTCTGCACCCTTCCCAGTACAAACTATGCCGAGTCAGAATTCGTTCTCCCTCCCGCGGGGTGGCATTTCAGAGATGCGCCTACAGCAGGTAGGCAGACTGGGCACAGCAGCTACCTAGGTCACAGACCTGACTGTGGCCCCTGGGGAACAGGGTTCCAACCCCTCAGGACATTTGGGTGCCCAGTGGGGCTTGCATAGAAAACGAAAGTGATTTAAAGTTTAGTTTCCAGACCTCCAGGTGGGTGGCCAGGTGTTCAGGAAGGGAAGGGATCTGAGCTGGCCCCTGGGACTTCACCTGGAAGGGTTTAGGGGCTGCAACAGGGTTGGGATTGGGGGAGGGAGGCCTGAGGCTCCATTTCCACAGCACACAGTTACAGGAAACACAAAACAAGTGTCTCTGTGAAGGGCTGGCAGGGAGAGGAGAGAGAGAAGACCAATGACAGAAGGAGAGTGAAAGAGAAGGAAAGCGGCCCGAGATTCCTAGGAGATGGCTAAGTCCCACTGCCAGGCCCCATGAGATCCCCCCTGACCCACCCCACAAGATCCCCCTGACCCGCCCCACAAGATCCCCCGGACCTGCCCCACTTGCAGGACCCCCCCGGGACCACACACCTGGGCTAACTTCTGTGCCCTGGGCTGGCAGGGAAACCACCCATAAGAGACATGGGGAAGGGACTTGGAATGGTGGGTCTCAGTCCTCTGAAGTCAGCAGGACCCAGCCCAGCCTGTTACCTACCTAGTCCTGCAGTCCGCGCCCCAAGTCCCACAGTCTGTGCTCCTAGTTCCAAAGGCTGTGACACTGAGTCACCAAGAGTAGAAAACAACTATAGTCAAATTTCCGGAATGACCCGCCCACTCCTAGGGACCGGTTACAAAGTAGCAACCCAATGACTTAAGGGATCGAGAGGAAATTCTTTTCTTTTTTAATTATTAAAGAATTTAGTTTAGTTACAGATGTTTCTCTTTTTTTTCTCATTGACATCTTACTCCCGACCCCCCAATCCTCCCCACACACAAAGCACTGTTGTCTATGTCCCTTGGTTGTGCATACATGCATATAAGTTGTTTGGATATCTCTTCCCATCCCCCCCCCCAGGTGTGTCAGTCCCAACCCTACTTCTATGTCTCTGGGTCTATTTTGTTCATCAGCTTATTTTATTCGTTATATTCCACAAATAAGTGAGATCATGTGATATTTGTCTTTGAAATTCTTAAACAAATATTCTAACATTCGCCTGTCTCTGAATCAAAGGAAAGTTCTTCAGCCCTGGGATGTTTGCTCTTTTTCCTGTGCCTGGTCCAGGGTAAGGGATAATCAGAGGGCAGGCAAAGGGAAGGGACATTCGTTTTTCAAGGGGAAATGCTGTAATAGTAGCATCATCAACGGCAAAAAACTGCATCTTTCTGGAATAGACTTAATTGCCAAGGGACTGGGTACGAGGCTCTGCTAGTAATCCTCTGTGCTGGGCCTGAGCTCTGTGGGCTTTATGTCATTGATTTAGCTCTAATCAGTCATTTGCCCCAGATTGTACCCTCCCAGGACATGAGGGTGGTGATGAGGAACCAGGGCAATGCACACTGGGATTAAGTCTCCAGTCATGAATCACTGATTTGTTTTTTATTTAAATAATTTATTTATTTTTGTTACAGATGTTTCTCCTTTTTCCACCACTGATATACCTCCCTCCTCCACCCTCCCGAACCTGTCCCCAGCTTTGTTGTCCATGTCCATTGTTCATGCATACAAGCATATACTTTCTGTGGTTTATCTCTCCCCCCAACACCCCCCCTTCTGGGGATTGTCAGTCTGTACCCCACTTACACGTCTCTGGGACCACCTCGTTCCTCAGACTATTATGTTCATTATATTTCACAAATAAGTGAGACCATGTGATATTTGTCTTTCTCTGCTTGGCTTATTTCACTTAGGATAATAGTTTCCAGGTCCCTCCAAGCCATATCAAAGGATAAGAGATCTTTCTTTCTTACAGCTGCATAGTACTCCATTGTGCATATTTACCATGGTTTTCTATCCATTTGTCTACTGATGGACATTTGGGCTATTTCTAGATCTTAGCTATTGTAAATAGTGCTGCTATGGACATGGGGTTAACTATGGTCTTTCAGACTTCATAGGGTTTATTCCTAGATGTGGGATCATTGGGTCAAATGGAAGTTCAATTTTTAATTTTTTGAAGTAACATCATATTGTTTTCCATAGTGGCTGCACCAGTCTGCATTCCCAAGAGCAGTGTACTAGAGTCCCCTTTTCTCCACAACCTCTCCAACATCTGTTGTTTGATGATTTGTTGATGGTGGCCATTCTGACAGGTGTAAGGTGATACCTCATTGTGGTTTTAATTTGCATCTCTCTGATGATTAGTAATGTTGAACATTTCTTCATATGTCTCTTAGTCATTTGTGTGTCCTGTTTGGAGAGGTGTCTATTTAGTTCTTCTGCCCATTTTTAATTGGGTTCCTTGTCTTACTTTTGTTGAGTTGTATGAGCACTCTGTATATATTGGAAATTAACCCCTTATCTGATGTATCATTGGCATATATGCTCTCCCATACAGTGGGTTGCCTTTCCATTTTGGTGGTTGTTTCTTTTGCTGTGCAGAAACTTTTGAGTTTGATGTAGTCCCATGTGTTCATTTTCTCCTTTGTTTCTGATGCCTTAGGTGATGTATCAGTGAAAATTCTGCTGTGTATGATGTCCAAAATTTTGTTGCCTACATTTTATTCTAGAATTTTTATGGATTGATGAGTCACACTTAAGGCTTTTATCAATTTTGAGTTTATTCTTGTGTATGGTGTAAGTTGATGGTCTTGTTTCATTTTTTTGCATGTGGCTGTCCAATTTTCCCAACACCATTTATTAAAGAGGGTGTCTTTACTCCACTGTATGCTCTTGCCACCTTTGTCAAATATTAATTGAGCATATTGCCTTAGGTCCATTTCTGGGTTTTGTATTCTGTTCCATTGATCTATATGCCTGTTTTTGTGTCAGTACCAAGCTGTTTTGATTACAATGGCATGGTAGTATAACCTGAAATCTGGTAATGTGATCCCTCAACATTGTTCTTCTTTTCCAAGATTACTGTGGCTCTTCAGGATCATTTTTGGTTTCATATGAACTTTTGAAGTATTAGTTCCAGTTCTGTGAAGTATGTCATTGGTATTTTGATGGGGGTTTCATTGAATCTATAGATGGCTTTGAGTAGTATGGACATTTTAATGATGTTAATTCTTCCAATTCACGAACAAGTTACTTGTTTCCACTTTTTTATATCTTCCTCCATTTCTTTTCAATGTCCTGTAGTTTTCTGTGAATAGGTCCTCTATTTCTTTGGTTAAGTTTATTCCTAGGTATCTTAATTTCTTTGGCACATTGGTAAATGGGATTTTTTTTTACTTTCTCTTTCTGTGACTTCATCATTGGTGTATAAGAATGCCGTCGATTTCTTGACATTAATTTTGTATCCTGCTACTTTGCCAAATTCATTTATTAAGTCTAGTAGATTTTTGATGGATTCTTTGGGGTTTTCTACATATAGTATCATGTCATCTGTGAATAATGACAATTTCACTTCCTCCTTTCCAATTTGGATCCCTTTCATTTTTTCTTCCTGTCTGATTGATGTGGCTAAGACTTCCAGTACAATGTTAAGTAAGAATGGCAAAGTGGCCATCCTTGTCTTGTTCCTGTTCTTAAGGTTAATGCTTTTAATTTTTGTCCATTAAGTGTGATGTTTGCTGTAGGTCTTTCATATATGGCCTTTATTATGTAAAAATATGATCCCTCTATTCCCAGATTGCTGAACATTTTTATTAGAAATATGTACTGGTTTGTTGAATGCTTTTTCAGCCTCTATTGATATGATCATATAATTTTTATCTATCATTTTGTTTATGTGGTGTATCACATTTATTGATTTGCAAATATTGTACTAGCATTGCATCCCTGGGATGAATCCCACTTGGTCATGGTGAATCATTTTTTTTTTTTTTTATGTATTGCTGGATTTGATTTGCTTGTATTTTGTTCAGTATTTTGGCATCTATGTACATCAGGGATATTGGCCTGTAGTTTTCTTTCTTTGTAGTGTCTATTTCTAGGTTTGGAATTAGAATTATGTTGGCCTCATAAAACAAGTTTGGAAGTTTTCCTTCTTAAATTTTTTGAAATACTTTGAAGGGAATGGGTATTAGTTCTTCTTTGAATGTTCGGTAAAACTCCCCCGTGAAGTTGTCCGGGCCTGCACTTTTGTTTGCTGGGAGAGTTTTCATTACATCTTCAATTTCTTTTGTAGTTATTGGTCTGTTCAAATTTTCTATCTCTTCCCGGTTCACTTATGGAAGACTATGTGTTTCTAAAATTTGTCCATTTTGCTTAGATTGTTGAATTTGTTGCCGTATAATTGTTCATTGTATCTGTTAACAATCCTTTGTATTTCTGTGGTGTCAGTTAGTATTTTTCCTCTCTCATATCTGATTTTGTGTATTTGGGTTCTCTCTCTTTGTTTCTTGGTGAGTCTAGCTAATGGTCCATCAATCTTGTTTATCTTTTCAAAGAACCAGCTCTTTGTTTTATTGATCCTTTGAATTGTTTTTTTGGTCTCCATGTCATTTATTTATGCTCTGATCTTTACTATTTTCTTCCTTCTACTTGTTCTGGGGTTTCCTTTTTGTTAGCTTTCTAGTTCTTTAAGTTGTGAGGTTAGTCTATTAGAAATTTTTCTTCTTCCTTGAGGTAGGTCTGCAGTGCTATAAACTTTCCTCACAGATCTGCTTTCACTGTATCCCATTGATTTTGTGTTGATGTGAGTTCATTTTCATTGGTTTTCAGGACGTTTATAATTTCTTCCTCGATCTCCATGGTAACCCATTCATTGTTCAATAACATGCTATTTAGCTTCCATGTGTTCAAATGTCTTTGCATGTTCTTGATGTAATTGATTTCTAGTTTCATGCCATTGTGATGAGAAGATGCCTGATATGATTTTAATGTTCTTGAACTTGTAGAGACTTAGTCTGTGCCCTTAACATGAGGTCTATCTTTGAGAATGTCCCATGTGTACTTGAGAAGAATGTGAATTCTGCAATTTGGGGGTGTAATTCTCCATAGATATCCATTAAATCCATTTAATCTTCAATTCATTTAGAGTCTGTGTTTCCTTGTTTATTTTTTGTCCAAAAGATCTATCCAGTGATGTCAGCATGGTGTTGATGTCCTCTGCTATGATTGTATTGCTGATGATTTCTCCTTTGAAGTCCTCCAGAAGATTTTTAATATATGTTGTTGCTCCTATATTGGGTGCATATATGTTTATCAAGGTTATATTTTCCTGTTGGATAGATCCTTTCAATATTATGTAGTGGCCTTCTTTGTCTCTAGTTATGGTGTACATTTTGAAATCTACCTTATCGGATATGAGTATTGCTACCCGAGCTTTATTTTCCTTTCTGTTTGCTTGAAAGATTTTTTTCCATCCCTTCACTTTCAACCTATGTGAATCTCTTGTTGTGAGGTGGGTCTCTTGTAAACAACATATATGTGAGTCATGCTTTCTTATCCAGTCAGCCAGTCAGCTACTCTGTGTCTTTTTATTGGAGCATTCATACCATTCACATTTATCAGGATAATTGATATGTACTCATTTATTGCCATTTTTGTTTACTGTGGTTCTATTTTTCTTCCTATTTCTTCTACTAATTGCAACAGGCATTTTAGCATATCTTGCAGTTCTGGTTGGGTGTTAATATATTGCCTTAGCCTTTTTTTGTCTGGAAAGCTCCTTATTTGACCTTCTATTTTGAATGA